GTGGAACATTGATGAGTGTTCATAATATAGTGGGATGCTGAATAACACATTTTACAACAGATGCAGAGATTAAGTTATTGTGAAACATTAACCCTGAAGTAAAACATACAAGAAGTGTGAGTGTCATATGCAATCTGCTGTGGCTGTGTCCTAATGCTTGTGACTTCTGGAGAGACAAACTGCATTAGTTAAAAGATGTTATTGCCTGTGTGTGACCATCTGGCCTTCTGATCTAGACTACTGCTCCTTCCAGTGTTCACTGGAAGGAAATGTATCTGAGCCTTTGTTCGCAGTGTGCCTTGTGCAAGTGGCTGGGCTGCCCCAATATAAAATCTACCACCCGTCTTCTGTCAGCTTTTTCTGGAAGCAACTGATGAAAAACATCCTTTCCTGATAAAAATGGCTGAACTATACCTACATAAGGAAACATGCACTAAAGGTGTTGGTTTTTCTCTGCCTCGGATGTACAAGATTATGTTAAATGAGTCTTACCCCAGTGCAAGCTCCTTCTGTCTTGAAAGCCAAAAAACAAACATGGGGTTTGGACTACAGTTTTGCTTAGGTTACTGAGCACAGAGGGAAAGACTTTATTTTAGTGTGTCAGGCCCAACATGCCTAGAACTGTCAGCTGCTTTGTTTTTTTAAATCAAAGCATTTCCAGTGGGATCGGTTCTGATCACAGCTTTGCATAGTTCTGTAAGATTTAAGCTTCTCTTTCACTTCTTCTTTGCTGCAAGCCTTTTTTTTTTGTGTGCGTGTGTGATATTCAGAGTGCAAAGATGCCTGAGAATTGCTTTAATGAGCCTTTACTGTAGTCCTGTGAGTGGAGTTAGATCATACAATTAGTGAGTTTAAAATAGGTCATCTTCTATACAGCTTCTCTCAAAACTGGACAAAATTATTTTGTCTTCTTGACTATATTATAATGACTCTAGGACTATAGTCAGTGGTAGCCAGCTGATACTTAAAACTGAAGCTTGTCTTCAAAGTTTGAAACTTGTATAAGGGAACACAACCATGACATGAAGTTCTGCTTGCTGAGTTTCTTAGCTTTATGACCACCTAATGTTCTGAATTTGAAGAGAACTGGCATAGCTGGGTTTACATGTTGCTGGTAAAAAAGGTAAAAAAGATACAGTTTTGCTGAATTAGGAGTAAGATTTCATTTTAGGATTTAAATCTATTATATTGAGGTGACTAGACAGTAAATGTATGGTAATTTTGATAAAAATTCTAAATCAGCTCTTTTGTCTTGACACTTGTCTTGAAACTTTGCTGATGTATTTTGTTGATTTTTTTAACTTTTATCTAGGAATCTATTAGATGGTTGGAAGTTGAAAAACTACTTCTTGAGATGACAGAAGAAGTAGACTATGATGTGGATTCTTATGCTACCCAACTTGAAGCAATTCTAGAGCAAAAAATTGATATTCTGACCGAACTTAGAGGTAAATTGCTTTTAATCACTTTTCTCTGCATTATTAGCATATGTCATGGAGACTTGCAGTAATAATGAGGAGGAAAAAAAACTGTGTGAATATATTCTAGGGTCTTTTTTACCTGCTTATGCTGCTCTGCAGTGTTATGTGGTAGGAACATTTATTCTGCTGCCTGAGAACAAGTTCACATTTGTGCTCAAATCATCCTAATTGTAGAGTCTGTGCTTTACCTCCAGAAAGTATAAACTCAGTCCTGCAAATTTTTTTTTTCCTTTTTTCCAAAACACTGAAGGAAGAAAGTATAACCGTGTGAAAAAAAAACAGAAGGAATGCAATGAAGAAAAAGTAGTAGGAACTCCCAGTTCCAGCTCTGTCTCATTCTGTAGTGTAGCAAGGAGCCTGCTGTCATTTTTTAAGACTACGCTTATGAGTGGCATCAAGCTCTTGAGTATCTTGGTTGGTAGTTTACTTCTTTTTTTCAACAGCCTTTCTGTTTGAATTTTGTCAGCTAATCTTTGTTGAAAAACAAATTGCAGGTTTATTACTTTACTTAGTGCCAAAGATTTACTCTACCACTCATCTTCTAAAATCAGCTTGTCATCTTGGTACCTCATGGAGATAAGTTTTTCGTTTCCATTTTTTGTTAACTATTTGGACTCCAGGAGACACAGCTAAGGTAAAAGCTTAAGGGTGGGGTTTGGGGCTGAGTGAAGGGGTTTTTTAATGTGTTAGAAAACACAAAAAAGTGTTTTCACCAAAAAAAAAAAAAAAAAAAAAAGAGTTAGAATCCTACTTTTTATTCAGACTGAGTATCTGCCGTAAATTAGAAGAATGCATCAAGCAAATCAGATTGACCTGTTTGCCTTGTAAGCATGCCAGTTATGCTTTAGCTAGGAATTGGGGGTTCCTTGTTAATTTTCTTTTTATGGATGATAGCTTCCTTTCCAGAAGACAATTTGAGACACCTGCAGTGACAAAACACAGTTTAGGTGACTTCCTAGATACTGTTTTTGAACTTACTTAGAGACTGTTTTTGAAACAAGGTACTGGAGGTAAAATGCTATCTAAGAGATCCTTGCATCTTTATAGGAAGCATGATGTATGTGTACTTTTAAAGGAGAGAACACCTGAAAAGTCAAAAATTCTGTCCTGTTATCTTCTGTGTTCTGCTCATGGTGCATAATGATCACTGGATTGTTCAGCTTTTACTTCTGTCACTATGGGACTGACATCTTTATGCTGTCCTTTTGGTTTCTTTCTTCCCACTCTTGGGCTTATTACTGGGGAATGGAAGGGAACAGGAATGAAGTATGAGGATACCACACTTTCTTTCTCAGGTTTCTCCCATTCCTATTAGTTATGATGAAACAAATGAATAATGCATTTAACTATTTACAGTTGAGTAAGTTCCAGAATTTATTCACCAATGCTTTTCACATTCATAGAAAAACAAGGGGACTAGAAATTAAATGTAGAGAAGAGGCTGATTGTACACTGAATAAGATTTTGTATGCCTCAAAGGTTGGTTTGGAAGGTACTGGGAAGGAAAAGTACACACGTGGTATCTCCCTAGATTCTCTAAGATAAAAGAAGGTGTGAACAGTTTGCATTCTGGGCACGCAGTTGTGCAGTTTACAAACCTATCCTGCCTAAAGACAGAGGTAGCATCCAAGAAGGGAATAAGTAGCTAAGCAGCTTGTTTGTATGGTGAGTATTGAATTTAAGTTTGTAGTTTGTAGCATCAGCTACTTTTGTGAAGGAATGTTCTTTGTTGTGCACTTGGGCTGGGATGCAGAGGTTTAGGGCTTATTTTCCAGATCTGTTCAGCACAGGCACATCAGTACTCATTCTCTTCTGTTTTCATTAAAGACAAAGTGAAATCGTTCCGGGCAGCTCTTCAAGAGGAGGAACAGGCCAGTAAACAGATCAACCCGAAAAGACCACGTGCCCTTTGAAATGGGCCCTTGCTGCTAAAGGAATCCATGAACATGTACTGCTGTAGCACACATTTGTTACAAAACCCAGTGGCCGGGGGAACTCAACTACTTGAAAGTGTAAAAGCGTTAGAAATGTCTGTGGAAATGTCCTGTTTCTTATTCACCTGAGTGACATTTTCAGTTTTATGTGAAATGATCCTATGATGTCTACAAAATGCTTCTAGACCAGACAGCATATCCATGCAGGGTTCAGATCTGTGAAGCACTTTGTTTTTAATATTTCATTTATTCAAATAGTGACACTTGTTTGGAGATACTTGCCATGTTTTTAATAATGAAGTAAAACTGTGGCCACTAAAAAGTCACAGCACTTCCTTCTGACCATGTTTAGTCTATTACAAAGACTGGCTGTGCCGTTTTAAAATTGTGGCGTGCATGCACACACTAGTGGTTTTATATAACTTCTCTTCTACAGACAGCTGTGCTTACCTATTCCCATTCTGTGCCTTGATGAAGGCTACTTAACCCTAGACATCCTTTCTGAAGCACAGCCTTAAAAAACTACATTCCTTATGTCAATATAAATTAGTGTGTGTACATTTTTGATGTGTTATAATACTTATTTTTTGGTGGCTAGTTTCATTTCACAGGATGTGCCATATCATTTGAACAGGAAGTGCAAGCTGTTACGAGTGGACAAACAGCTGGACATTCCATTTTCCTTGTATAAATCTGGAATCTTGATTTATTTGAATACCATAAAGGGTGGTTATATTAATTCTAACATTTTCTCTGTAATAATAAAAAACAAAAAAACAAACCAACAAAACCCCACAAAAATATAAATTAGTTGATGTGTAATAAAGGGTAATGTTTAAGTACTAAGGAGAGTTGTACCTTAGGATAATACAGATATATGGTATGTGGTGATAATGCTGTGTATGGATAGTTTAACTGTCAAACTTTGGGGATAAATACATCCATACTGGCCTTTCACATACTGTTTTAAAAACTTGGCTTTTGATGCATGACAAGCTTACATGTACATTAACCGTAGTTTGCAGGTAGTTTGAGTAGTTCTGTTGCTTTAAGAAGTAGCTAATACCTATTTTTCCCTTTGTACAGTGCCAGCAGCTGAAAAGTGGGGTGAAATTGCATCATTTGACGATTTTGCACAATACCTCTACCTAGCGCTAGTAGAAATCCTGCAAGTACCTGAATTCTCACAAATGGCGCCATGTATATCAGCACTTTTTAGATGGTGGCACTCAAGTTATTTTTGCAAGTCAGTATCCAAAAAAGACTGACCTTTCATGTAGGAATTTCCTGTCAAATGAAGAACTGTAGACCTCTCTAGGAGTTCTCCCTGTTTCCAAGAGTTCGTATCAGCAGACTTTCCCTTGGAACTGTTTAAGAATTACTTTTGGAATACAAGCCTGTTTGTTTGTGCCAGGCATGGGGGGAAATAAAGGGAAGGCAATGAAAAGAGAGTTAAATGAGCCAGAATTTCTTGTAGTGTTTAATGTTTGTATCTCCCATAGAAAGGTAGGCTATGGGAAGCTCTTGTCGCATCATGGTTAAAAATAAAATTCTCTTGTGTGTACACATTAAAACTGAAACAATGTAGATTTTACATAATGTGTTTAATAAATTAAGCTATTAAATGAACAACATCTGAGAATTTTTGTTATTCTTTCAGAAGGGTTTAAATTTGTCAGCACATTAGTTATATTTTTGAAAAGAATACTTACTCTGAATTCAGAGAAAGTATTTCCTTCTGCAGCCAATTCTTCTCCACAAGTTCGTCATACAGGAAGAAATTTCCCGGAGCACTGTCCTAACTTAGTTTTGCATCAGGTCTTAAAAGAAACATCACACCTTTCTCAATGTTTACGAACATCATCCATCACATTTAAAAGAAAAAAATAACTTGAAAAGGCAGACAATAGCTTTTGTTAGCAGGCAGGTTATTGTGTAATACGAGAGGGTTCCTTTGAAGCTGCTCCTACAGAATTCTGTAAAGTCTGTGAAGATTGAGACGTCCTACATGAGTAACAGTGGCTTCCATACTATTCGTCCGTAGAGCCACAACCAGGCTGTGGCTTCCTGCCGGTACCAAAGGGAACAGGAAGGACAGAATTCACTTTGAGCAGCTTTTTACTAAGCTGTGTAATAACATGTGTCCTGTCAGGCAGCACATGCAAGCAGAAACTGTGTCTACATCCAGTCTTTGTGCCAGAGCCTGCTCTAAGTGTGACCTATAAAGATACTGAAGCAGTGAGAATTGAGATAACCTGATATGGCTGGTTAGGCACCTGACTTCCTGTAGCCCATTGTCATGATGGACTGGAAGTACAGACAGGCAAGCTTATCCTCAATTCCTGTCCTGTAAAATGAAAGCATTTACGAAGTGTGACACAAGCCTCCAGCATTTGTTCCTTCTGTATTAGTCTGAGCATATTCCTTGTGGCTATTACCCAACTCACAATTTGGTTCTGCATGCAGTGAAGCAGCATGAGAATTACTGAATTATTAAACTGTGAAATAAATGAGCAATTCAGCTTTTAAAGTCAACATCTCAGGATGCCTGCAAATTCAAGTCTATTTGTGAATCAATGACTTCTAAAGAACTGAGGGGGGATGTCAGTGGTGGGGCTAGTTGGACTCAAGAGATCTTTCCCTAATGATTCAATGATGCATATAAATGAAGTTTATCTTAGAGGAGGTTTTGCTAATTTGCCTCTTTTGCACTTAACTTGTCTCATGGAAAGATACACTACACTGTATCTGAAAAAAATCACATGGTATTTAATACACAGGGTGATGCTTTCACCCCTGCATGATGCTACAGTTAACAGTTGATGTTTTTGACAGCTGTGCTGCAGTTAATGCAAACTTTGTTGGAAAAGGTCTCCCTTGTCCTTAACAACTCATAACCCAAACTATATTAAAGACACTTCAATACTTTTCTGTGAGGACACAGGGATGACTGCTCTAAGTCTCAATGAAAGCTTTGATCTATGCTAAAACTCCTCTTTGCCTTGAAGGGTGAAACAGTTATCTTACAAAAATAGCTACTTCAAATTGTACTTGGCCAAAAAAACCCTTCTTCTGTGCTTATGAGATGTGGCCCTTTGGTAGTTTTCTTCTAGTTACTACAGTGGGGAAGAAGGTAAAGGTGATTACACTGGTGGTTTCAGGTACCACAGTAATGTTTCTGTAAGTGATACCAAGCCCACAAGATAAATGCTGTTGTTCCCAAGGAAGAGTTACTTTTTTCTCAAAATTTCTCAAAGAGAGGCAGATTACTAACAGACTTGGAATGTGGGTAGTTACCAGAGGACAACTGGAAGAGAGAGGCATTTCAAATCAAAAGAAAGTGTTTAAATACACTTTAAAACAACCAACCAACCAACCAAAGGGAATGATCACAACTCCACTTTTGTTGTCCAGACCAGTTATGGTTGTAATGTTGAGTATAATGCAATATACGGAAGTGATCAGAGAACATAGATTTCAATTATGGCAACTTCAATCCAGTTTTGGGTATATTCAGAAATACATTGTCATGAGGAAGTCCAACACCTTGCTTCAGTTGTGAAAGAATGTACTGTTTTTAAAATACCAAGCAGCAGAGCTTGCCTGCTGTTTGTGATAAAGCCACATCTAACATTTTAATAAGAGCCCAAGCATATACGGCATATTTTGTTCATTGCTCTTATGAGAAGAGCTTGTCCCACTTCACTTGCTCTGGCTTAGGGAAGACTTTGGTGACAAAAAGCAACACCTGTCATTCTTCTAGTAGGATCTATGAGAAATGGATGCCTTCTGAATTGAAGCCATGCAGCAATCTGAAAGAGTGAAACACTTACGTTACAATGCTACAGATTGATACTTCAGCTTAAGGCATTTTTAAGATGTGCTGGCTGGCAAAGAAAACAGTATGAAAGCAGCCATCACTGGTCAACTGCAATAAAAAATTGCAACAAACTACAGTTAGTTATGTTAGATCCTACCAGGTTTACTATGATTCTTTAAAAGCAGTAGTAGTCTTAGTTATTATACTGAGAAACAGCTATGAACTTTTACCTCTAATTAGGAGAGGAGTCATGCTGCCACTTAAATTAAGTGTCCATAAGTAAAAGTAGCTTATAGCAGGTTATTATTCATATTTCAAATTATGCTATAGACTGTGGCCTAATCCTCAAGGCAAAGAAAGGCTCTGTAAGACTCCAGGAAAATTCTAATAACAGTTACATTACTAAAGCCATTTTTAAAGGAGATATAGAAGGGCCTAGTACACAAACACCAGAAATAGGGATCTTTAGCTAACTGCTTCTCAATGTTGTAACCAGCATTTAAAATATATATAGGGTTTAAGTGTTTGTTCATATTCAGGACTGGAAGCCAGGTTCTGAGAGGGAAACTACTGTTCCTGGGCAACCCAACACTGAGCTAACACAGGTGCAGATAGAATTTAAAGCAACTTAAAAGGAAGGCATAAAGAGGAAAAAAAAAAAAAAGGATACCGAATGAAATCATCTATATCCATTGAGCGGGCTCGTTTTTCAGAGTAACCTGTATCTTTTAGGACTGTCTGTATTTTCTCTGCAATTTTGAAGTTTTCAGGTATTTCCTGTCAACGGAAAATAAGATAGAAATTATATTCCACTCATTGCACAAAAAAGATTAATTTAAATTACCTATGTTTTCCTGCTCTTAGAACAGTTCTTATTTCAAGTGATAAAAAGTTGTACTTTTCTTGTATGAATTACGTATTATGTATTATGCTATTGTATCTGAATTTTTATATCTGAGCTCATTCACTATAAATGAATCACAGCAGTATTTCAAGACACAGAAAGTTTTATTAGATTAGCAGGAGACCTTGAGACATACACAGAAAATAATTTAATAGCATACTCGATTTTAAGCTTTTTCACTATAAATTAGTGACCCTTTTGGATTTTTCACTAAGAAAAGAGGCAAGTTCTTCCCTCCCTCAAACTCTCTTGGAAAAACTTTAACATGTTACAGTTTTCAGTATAAATTTTTTACTCTTCTGAAAGACAGTATGGATGTCACAGTACACAGAAATAGAATATATTAAAGAGGAACTTACTGTATTATGTAAGGAACAATGAATTCGGTAATTATGATCCAGCAACTGCTCTACAGCACTTGACCTAAAAGGAATACAAGTTTAGAACGGAAACTAAACTATAACTACCTTTTTTATTTGACTGGTTGTTAATCTTTACTATAAAAAGTTGTAACAACTACACAGAGCTGTTCTTTTTAAACAGCTGCCTACTTTTCCTGTAAAAGACATGGTTAACTTGATGGGCTCTCAAATTTTGAAAAGATTTGACAGAAGTTACTTACTTAAATGCTGCAGAAAGTGTCTTGTTTTTCCTAACAAAGGCTATCCTTACCAGACCATCCCACTCCTGAAATTAAAAATTTCAGAATTTACAGAAAAGAACATATAGCTACTACAAACAAGAGTAGTCACTACTGACAACTTCACAAACTACTGAACACAAAGGAAAATCCTTCATGAAATTTCATGAAAATGAAATTCTAAGCAATACAAAATCAGTCCTGTCTTGGATAGAGCAATACAAATGGAGAAAATACTTCACCCACAAAAACTCTTAACCGTACTTTTTCATGCCTAGGCACTATTGGTCAGATTGTATGTGCTGAGAAGGCAGATACTTAAAGAAAATCTGGCTAACCTTGGGCAAGGCTGAAGTGGCTGTTAGGTGTTTTAAAAATTAAGAATGCTATCCTGTAACATCTGTCTTCTGAGATTGCACACACTCGTCTGAAGATAAGACTTCTCACAGATATTCCTTTGACCAAAACCTGTAAGTCATCAGCTGCAAGGGTCTCTGGGAGTACAACGAAAGGGAAATTATCTGCACCACTGCAACTGACCTTGATTTTACCAGAGTTACTGTACACAAAGCTGTACCCAAACTGATGGTTGCACATTCTCTTAATGTTGTAACACAAGCCTGATCAATAGACGATGTATTTTAGAAACTCCAATAAATAGCTGGTACTTCATAGTAAAATCAGAACATAGAACTAAGTAGTAGTATCACTAGTACGTTATGTTGAGTATACAGTGGTCACCTGGAAGTTGATGGGAGGTGGTGGGTTCTTTGGCTCTATTCTTACAACACTGGATTCAACTTTGGGAGGAGGCCTGAAGTTGTTCTTTCCAACCTGTTGGTCAAGAGCAGTGAGGCAGCTGTGTGAACAAGCAGCAAATCCTCATATCCCTTGAAACACTCTTCTTCTGTCTTTGACAGCTCTGTTACCTAATGCAGAATGACATACCTTCATCAGGTGGTCCACTCGAGCTAATAACTGAGTATTAATGGAGAGTCTGCAGTACAGTTTAGTTCCTGGTTTTGCAACCAAACGAAGTGCAAATTCCCTTTGAAACATAAGTATTGCACACCTGAGAATAACAGATATCAGAAAATTAATTCTAAGTAATCCATTTTTATGTCAAAAGATAACTAACACACTTGGAAAACACACAGTTTGCCTCAGCACTTACAAGTAGTGAAAGTTTATTATAAACAAACTCTGCTTTAATTAGCTCAGAGTGCACTAAAAACTCCAAAAACCATCAGAAAACTTGGCCAAGCCATCTAAGTCATCTCAAAGATGTAACAGAATTTATTATTAGTAGTGCTAAATGGATCAGGATCAAAGATGCAGGCTGGTCTCGAGTTACTTGCCTGTAACAAATCATTTTGAATAACTCCTTGTTGAGTCCTTCAAATCCAAACTCTTCAAAAATTGACTAGTAATGTCACCAACATTAGTGTTTCAGTGACTGAAATTAAGAACTGCAGACATACTGAATAACACACAGAAACACTTGGGCAATTAGACTTTTAGATCAGACAACAGGCAGTGACCTGGATTTGGATCCAACCCTTTCCACACTACCTTTTTTAGGTTGGAAGGCATTTGGAATGCTACCATGTCCTACTTATCCCTGAAACGACAACTAATTATAATACTAAAGAGGTGTAACTCCTGTTTTCATCAACCAGATGCCAAGACTAAATCTCCTCATCTTAATAAGTCAACATAAACTAATTTCCAGGCACTATCAGGTTTATATTACAGAAAAATTTTGGTGTGGTTCTGATCCATCAAACTGCTATTTTAAGAACCAAAAAAAAATTGATCTGGAAATATTTTTAAAACTATTTTTTTTCCTATGAGGCAATACAGAGCTCTGTTCTTCCACATACCTGAAAAAAGGTCTATGAAGCAATAACTTGAAAACAAAAGGTGAAGAAATCTGAAGAAAAGAGTAACAGAGTAAGTATAATTTCTGGGAAATTACAATTTAAAAGAAAAAAAGTTCTACCATATTGTTTACCCCATACCTGATAAGGCAAGTTAGCCACACATGCATCAAAGAATGGTAAGTCTGTTTTCAAGATATCTCCGACCTTGATTTCAAGTTTGTTTGCCAGACACCTGTGGGAAAAAATACATTTTGATTATTCTCAGAGAAGCATGTTGCCTATGTTTTGTCAAAGCGGCTCCACTGCTTCAAGTGCTCACTATTTCCACAGTTGATACTTACGTGCCCTGGATTCGCTTCTGAAGTTCACCAACAAGTCTAGGATCAATTTCACATGCAATAACCTGAAAAAAATATATATTTGCGACTTTATGCAACACCTCCTAACTGGGATTAAAATTTTAATTAACCCCCCCCAACCCTGTATCTATTGCTGTAGGTTTAAATAATTCTTAAAAATTTTCTATTAGGCTAAGCACCTTCCTCCCTTTCTGAAAACATGCAAGCTTTATGACATAAATGGATAAGAGCAACGTAATTTGATAAAATAACAAAAGATTTAACAAAGACAGCTAAAAACTCATTAGGATTATGCAAACGTTAAGAAAAATATCCACAGAGTGCTTCTATTGATTTGAATCCACTGTATAAAGACCACAGTCTAAGCCACAGTGTGGTCAGTGGTAAGATGGTGTGCGTGGAGGGGGATTCGCACTTACTTTTTTTACTTTCTCCAACATCTTTACTGTCAGGTTGCCGGTTCCCGGGCCCACTTCCAGAATCACATCCGTGCGGCGCAGAGCAGCCTAAGGACAAACAGCATTTCGGGTGCTTGCCTAGAATGGACTCCGTGCAACCATTTGACTTCAGAACAAAATATAAGTGCTTTTTACGTAGCAAAAAGTTCAAACCGGGTATTAGAAAAGCGTGAGGGCCATTTAGAAAGGAAGGAGCAAGAAACAGGGACTTATGCTGACTGGGAGCAGAAGAGCCAGCGAGCAGCCAAGTTAAAAAAAAAATAAAAATCACACACACAAAGAAGTAATGTGATGGCAGTAACCGCGGTTCAGCGGCAATACTCGCGGATCAGCGAAGCCCGGGAAGGGCCAGAGCCAGGACCGCGCGTTACCCGGAGCTCCGGGCCAGTCCCGGTTCCCGGGACAGCCGCCGCCACCGCCTCCCACCTTCTCGATGATGCTGTTGACGACGAGGGGGTTCTTCAGGATGTGCTGCCCGGCCCCGGTATTGAAGAGGATGCCTACGGCAGAGACCGCCGTGTTACCGCGGGTGCTCGGCCTCCCCGCTCCCGTCATCCCGCCCGGCCGGCCCGGCCTGGCCCAGCCCGTACTCACCGCCGGCGCGGCCGTCCCGGCGGTCTGAGCGCTTCCCGGCCCGCGCGTTGGGCATGTCGGCGGCTCCGCTGGGATCCCTCGGGAAGCACCGGGATGGGCTCGAACCGTCCAGGGACAGCGCTGCACGTGCCGCCACTGCTCCCGACCGGCCTCGCGTGCTCCCGCCGCGCGGGACAGCGCCCCCTGGCGGCCCGGCGGCCCGCCCTCCATCCTCCCGGGAGAGGCTCCTGCCCCGTGTGATATGCTACCCTTAAGGGGAAAGAGAGCACTCGAAAGTCGTAAATGCTCGTGGTCGGAGGGAAAAGTCAGAACGTCCGCAAAAGCTAACGAAGTTTTGTAAGTGAACTACACACAGCATGGAAATCGGTGTGTTAAGACCCTAACCTACTATCTAAGCACACTAGAGTGGGGTTTGGTTAAAGGGGTAGGATGAAAAAGGAGGAAAGAAAAGATGAATTTAAGAGGGGCGAGGAGAGAGAGAGAAAAGGAGGAAGGAAGGGAAGGGAAGGGAAGGGAAGGGAAGGGAAGGGAAGGGAAGGGAAGGGAAGGGAAGGGAAGGGAA